GTTATGAAACAGTAGCTTAGCGATTGAGAGTATTATTTAGCTACAAATTGTTTACAGTCATAGAAAGTACAAATCCTTAAATTATCTCATATCGACATGACATGAATTGATAAACGTATGCTGTTATCTCAAGCACAGATTTGAGTATTAGGTATTTGATCTCATTACCTTTGTGAAGGGTAGTATTAATATCTGATTGAATTAAGCACAGTAGTGTTATAACTTTTAAAAATCGGTATTTAGAACAACAAGAAATTGAAATATACATGGCACACTTAAGGACGAAGACAAAAAATTGATAACAACGTTAATTCAATGAACTCATTTATACATACATCGATTTTAATAGTATTTCATAACTACGAACAGTAGATATGATACAGAATTACTGCAAAACGCATCCCATTTGTTACATTGAACATACACAAGGAATATCACACTAAGCGAAAAATCACAATAATTTAAAGGATACAATATAGGAATTGACACTAGGAAGATAGAGGATAGCAGGACTGTAATAATATGACTTATTTGGGGCTATTCAACCTTTATTCAGCGATTGCTTATGACCGTTGAGTCAGTCCATACCACTGGGTGTATTTCACACCATAGGAATATAACCAGTAGTCTATTATTTAGAGGAAACTGAAGTGATTTACATTCTTTAAGTTGCCCTAACCATTTTTCTATCTTATACTAACCAACTTAGCAAGTTGGGTTATATGATTTATTGATAAGCGCTAAGCATATTCTAGCCGTGACATTCAACAGAAGTTTATAATTCCATTTCGGGGCCACACCCGGAGCCTTCAACTTAAAGGTCTAATCGACAAGGCAGTAGAGCAATGTTAGAGAAGATGCAGTTCCATGGTAGTCGGTGACCCACAGTGGGTTCATACACCATTTGTTCCTTCAGGATCATGGAGTCCATGTGCACCATTGGTTTCGAATCAGGGTTTTACATCTCCTTTAGGTGGGGTAGATCCTCTGTATTCACCAACCCGGTTAAAGTGCCGGATATTCACTTTTCATCTCACTTTCGTAAACAACACCCCACCACGAAAGGTAGTGGGGAGGATTTCCCTGATATTGACTGTATACACATGGTCATGTAAGGATATTTCGAGAGGGAGAGCTAACTCCTGCTCAGTTACGAATTGAGAACCTTCTATGTGTTAGATAAAACATGATAACCATTACACCACAGAAACAATATTTAGTTTGTTCTTCTTTTCTTTAATAAATTCACATACACACACTGTTCATTTTCTTTAACAACAACGAAAAAAGGCGAACAAAATTCTTTCTTTTTTCTTTCTATTTACAGATATCTCCAACTAGATACTACAAATTAAATAGTTACCAAGTATAGTTACCCTATTTCTCTATTTAATATTATTTACACGTATAGAGGCATATTTGAAAGTTGGATCAAATTTTAATCATTTCAAAATAGTTCTTCAAATGAACCTCCACTTTTTTTTAAGAAAAAATTTGATTAATTTATTTTTAAGTTACATACAATTCAACATTCAATGATATGAAGGATCATAATTAATTATTGAACATTGAATACTTCAAATATGAAACTAGAAAAATGACAAACAGAAATTTTTCAAGCAAAAAACAAACAAACAACCAAAAAAATCAATTATTGATCATTAAATAAACAATTTGCATAGAAACAAGAAAAAATTAATTGTAAATTTCGAATTTTTCTTCATGTTGATTACAAAAACGAGAAAACAAAAAAAAACACAATTCAATTCAGTAAAACAAATAATCATGTGAACTAATATTTATTCATATTAGGTAAATGATGGTAAGCAACAATATTTTCTTTTTCTTTTCTTTGGCTTCCATTCAGTCAGTTAGTCAGTCAGTCAGCAACTACAACAATAACAACAACGTAGAACTTTGTACGTGTGTACATTACAGTTCCAGTTGTCATGTCATATTAGCTTCCATTAGTCTTTTCTAAAAGAAGAAGAAAAAAATTCGATATTTAATATAACAAAGTGATCTATATTTGTTTCTTTGTTTATTGTTGGGTAATATTTTGTTTATTGAATTTGTTCAATGTTGCTAAAAAAAGAGAAAAAAACTTTTTTTTTCCTAGTTATTCAATGTTATAACGAACAAACAAGAAATAATAATTGATATCCATGATAATTATTATTAATAATAATTTTTTTCTATGTGACATATATATTTATTTAAGTGGATTTTTGCAATGAGCCCCCAAATGCCCTGGTACGGCCGAGGGTAGGGAGAATTAGCTTTCCCTCTCGAAACATCCTTACATGGCCATGTGTATACAGTCAATGTTAGGAAAATCCTCCCCACTACCTTCTCGTGGTGGGGTGTTGTTTACGAAAGTGAGAGAATGAAGAGCGAATATCCGGCACTTTAACTGGGTCGGTGAATACAGAGGATCTACCCCACCTAAAGGAGATGTAAAACCCTGATTCGAAACCAATGGTGCACATGGACTCCATGATCCTGAAGGAACAAATGGTGTATGAACCCACTGTGGGTCACCGACTAGCATGGGACTGCATCTCTAACATTGCTCCACTGCCTTGTGGATTAGACCTTTAAGTTGAAGGCTCCGGGTGTGGCCCGCTAGGAAAACCACCTGTTTCGTTCTGGGCACCCTATCAGTATCATAATACACATACAAATTAAGTGACTTGTGTGGCGCATATCTATTCGGTTCCCCTTTGTACCCATATTTATGTGTCCAAATAAATAAATATTTTAGCAATGCAATATACATGCAATATATGAACTGACTTTAGTTAGATAAATATTGAAAATTAGTAAAACACTAAACAACTGCTTCATTCTAGTGTAGTGAACAGAACACCAGTGACGACAATCGAATGTATGTAACACAAAATTACAGGACTTGTTAATAAAATCTAACAATCATAAAGTAAATGCTTAGTTTGCAAAATGTTCACCAATCGTCTCAAAATGACTAAGACTTCATTGTTCTTGCATTTTCATACAAATTACGTTCAGTTTACATTCATTACTGTTCGATCCTCTTGTCTCTTTGCTACCACACCTTCTGTTCACGACTAACATCATATACTACATATGTCAATATAAGTAGCACACACCACACTAGTAGTATGAGGAGACGTTTCAGTAGTGCAAAGTAACGATCCTTACAGACATCAGGTCATGGCAATAAGCGTTTGACCGTTGAATCAGAATTCGGTGATACTGGATTATCAACAAAACTACGATAAGCTCATTCTTCGAATTATTTACAATCAATCCGAAATTTTCGATAAATCTATACGGTTTTTTAAAAAACCAATGACGAAAACTACCCTCTTCTTGACCTTGAGAGTTGCTCAAAGACAATATTTTGATATACGATCTTACCTTAAAAACATGAACAGTACACTATGAAACCATTAGTTTGTGCGGTTGTTGTTGTATTCCATTGAGTAATCTATACGAATTAGTGGTAAAATCCCGGCAAGATGATTCTTGAAGTGTTTGTCTAAACAAAATCAATACAAAGTACTCAACTTTCCTACTCCTTACATTTGACAGCAAAAACGGTACAAAGTAACACTGAAGATTGGTGTGGATGAAGATTTATTAACCTTTCAAAGAACACCCTTAAAAAAACAAGTAGTCATTAGACCGAACTATGCTCATTTACATACGCAATATACAGAGTTACTTAAAAAAAATATACCGAATACAGTACACTTGAATTAATACAAGGAATGAAGATATCACACTGGACGGAAATTCAGATTTGTCACATTGATCAAAATTAATACTGAAATGATACAGAATTATTGATCTAAAGTCACGTCATCTTATCCTATTACTGTATTTTCTTTTGATAGGGACTTCAGGGATTATCAACAGCTTCACATCCATCGACGCGACAGAAAACTATAACTCAAAGTTGGATACATATTCAACTATATAGGGTTACTTCCTTCCATTTACATTCGATTAGCTTTTATCAGACCATCAGTACGAGATATTGAAGGGAAGCGTCCATAATTTGTTTCGATAATAGTACTAAACTCCTTAGAAAGGCGATAAAATTTTGTTGAAAGGGTAATACACTTGACAGGCAGTCATCAAGGGACGAACTTCTTTTTAGAAGTGAACTGACTTAAGGATAATGATGTATACTTGTAAAAACAAGCCCAGGAATTCCCCAGGTTACTCTAAAATCTTTAACATTTGTTTAAATAGTTATGTTTGCCCAATATAGCAACAGAATATAAACACCGAATATCTTCAGCGATTATTTCTAGTGGTTCAGGCCGAATACGCTCTACCAGTGAAATATTTTAGTGTTTACATCGATTGGTCACCGAGTAATGATTGTCTAATTGTTCAGTGTTGGTGAAGTTTCATTTATCAAGTTATGATGTGACAATTAGTCTGATTAACTCAAAATCACGTGGAAGATATTTTCATGTTAGGTGGTTGGAGGTTGTCGGTAAGAGATGAAGGACTTCATGCTAAATAGGACCTTTGGAAGACTTATGCTTTCTGTGGGTTTCAACCTGTTTCATCAAGCTTCACAGACAAAGACATTATCACTGAGTAATTCAGGTTGCTATTAGCTTCAATCCTTAGGAAAATCAGTGCTAAATAGCATGAAAGTTGAATCCCTAATTTCTTCCTAACTACCTCTAAGCACATAACATATCTTAATATTGCTTCTCTCAAGAGTCACATAAATTATATTTACACAGAGGTGTATTACTCTCAGTATAATTCATGACAGCAATGAATTTATAACAAACAGATGTAGTATGGGGGGTTGTGAAGATTATTAAGTTTTTGATTGAAATCATGAACTGATTGATATTAGACCACCGTTGGAAACCTGGACGGCGATTTCGTCCCATTGTGGGACTCTTCAGCAGTGCGCATCCACGATCTCAATCAAAAACAGATATAGAACAAGTCAATTTCATAGACATCGGATCAGAAGAAGATCGAATACCATATCAAAATATGTATAAGTTTCCTTTCCAAACAGAATTTCTTTATAAGAGAAACAAAAAGGAAACAAGAAACAAAAGATAAAGAGAGCATAGAATTATGATGAAATATCAATAGCAAAGTATCGAATAGTTGTATCATCTGATGCTGTACACAAGAATGGTTCAATTTTATCATTATTATTATTATCGTCTATAGATTTACAAAATGGTGGTAGAGTTAAATAAAGAATCATTGCTTTATGACCCCACCATATTTTTAAAGGAGTTTTTTCTGTTAATAAACCAGATGAAGATTTTCCTGTTAATCCAGTAATACCACACCATGCAACTATGGAACCTTTAGTGGTAGCTGTGAAAAATATAGGTTTATATCGACTCCAACATAATGATGTAATACCGATAGGTTGCTGTTAAATTAGAAATAAATATAAACGAGAATTTATTGAATAGTATCAATCAAATAAGGAGAATGTTTACGTTATACAAACTAGTGTATGAAAGGGACAAAATAATTATAATAGGAGAAGCAGTTCGGTTTTAAAAAATTCTACACATGTTTCCATAAATCCTCGTTACCAACATGGTGTTGCCACTGAATGTCAGCAACTTTCCAGAGACAACGACGATCAGACACAGGGAGCTGTCTAACATCCTCAACTCAGAGAGGCCAGGCTTCATGAGCTTAGAGCAAGACTGTTCTCATCAACACGTTGTATATCCGGTCTTTCACAGCTAGACCAGAATCACGAATGTGCCAAAGATTATCCAGATTGACATAAGCCTCTCTGGCTTCCACTATATATATGAATTGATTTCATCACCCACGTAACCATCAGCAGTTACACAGCTACACCCAAATACACGAACTTCTCGTAAAAGTATTTTGCACTTAGAAGGTGCGAGACGTATGTCATACCTACAGATACTAGTTGCCAACTGATTAAGTGCGGATTGCATAGCTTGGATATCATAGCACAGTAAGACAACATCCGCATACACAATAGACAAGGTTAAGTGGGGTCACATAGGTTAACGAGGAGATTCATGAAGTACCAAGAGAACTCATTCACCATATAGACAATGATGCAACTAAAAAGCTAAAGAATTTCATAATATGTATCACGTGATGTGGTTGTTTTAAACTGATAACCATAAGTCGAAAATCACTAGGATTATCTTCTTTTTTTCTTAGTAGGTTGAACTTTTCTTATTTTTCCATTAATCAAAATTTCAACGCACAAACAATGATGGGTTATTGAAAGAGTTAAGCCTTAACATACTCCTACTTGAATTTTAGAAAATCTTGATTTGAAACCAACACTGTAACAAGAAATAACCTACCGCGTCATCTTCATCTATGTACGTCCATTTTTGACGAACACGAATAGTATGAGCATCACAAATTCCAAGTACACCAGTGATAGAGCCAAAAGCAAATAATGGATGTCTATAATTAAGATAAAGAAATAAAATATTAGTAAATAAAAGGGAAATTAGAATGTACTAAGAATATTTAAGGATAGAATGCATTCCACCACATATCAGTTATCGATATCATTCATACCAGTGGATGAATAAACAAACTCATTTCAAACATATTCAGAATATCAGATGGGTTTTGTGGATATTATAGTAATTTCAATGGTTAAGATCATGAGTCAGTTGAAGCTAGACCACCATGGAAAACCTGGAAGCACTGAACGGCCGTTTCGTCCTATGACTCAGGATCTTAGCCATTGAAATTACTGTAATATCCACAAAACCCATCTGATATTAATCAACATATGCTCACTAGTGACTGGCTTCAAGAGGTATATCCTGGAGTTCTAGTGAGAAGTAGTGACCAGTGGAGTTCAACCAAGTCTGTTGTGAGATAGCAACTCACTGAAGACAATGGTGGATGTGTCACTCAATTTCGTGGATTAGTTGAAGTTAGACATTAACACCTTTGGATGCCGGCTCAGTGATCTAGTGGTTAAGTGCTCGCGAGCGAAATCAGTAGGCCCTGGGTTCGAATCTCGCAGGAGGCGAGGCCGTGGGTGCGCACTACTGAGGAGTCCCATACTGGGACGAAACGGCCATTTAATGCTTCCAGGTTTTCCATGGTGGTCTTGATATTCAGAGTATAAGATAATAAAATAAAGCCGATAGGTTTAGGTTGCCGGATATTAGCATTATCCTTCATACAAATAATGTAGTTTAAAGGTGATTACATCCATCTACACTCAATAGGTAAGTTAAATCTCTAATTAATGTTTGGATGTATTAGTCAATGAACAATCATGAATGTAATTTTAATTCATACAAGGTTCAACAACAACAACGAAATATTCCACCATGATAATTGACATATATCCAACCAATTTCAACTTAGTAACAGATAAATACTCCTTAGATGAACTCAAACAATCATTCATGTAACTCTGAATTTCAGAGTTTAATATGTACTTTATAATAACAATGATGTATTGGTTATTTTAGGACTGAAACTGGTTAGTCACTTTTGGCAGCTAGACATCCTGTACGAACTGCCTCGATATTACCATTAAGTCATAAGCATTTAAAGCATAGATGGATAGTGGCTAGTAATGAAATCCGGGACGCGTGTTTTGTCGTATTTGGGACTAGTCAGCTGGATGTACCTGCATTCCACAGTTGATGTAAATTTTGAGACACGAATCGAGTACCGTTCGCTTGATGACGAGTCCCAGATGGGACGAAAAGTGAGTTCTGGATTTCACTCGTAACCCTCATTTCATCTCTGCTTAAAAATGATGATACTAGTTTACTGAATCCATAAACTTAAAATTTGTAATCGAGTTCAAGAAGCTCATGACCATATAACCTCTCCAAACTACCAGGAATTATTAAATCATACGAAGCTCATTTCGTACCACATTATTTATATAAAGTCATATGATACCATTTGATCTTCGCAAAACGAAGATGATACAGAACACGAATCATAGACTTATTGGTTGAAAGTCAAATAGTTTCATTCAATAAATGTTTTTAAAGCAAGATTATATACTTATATCTTGCATTGAGTATGTAGCGAGATATCAGCTGACTATTATCTCATTGACTTTGAATAAAGCTATAGATGGATTGATATACTCAGATGCTTACACATGATATACAGATAAATAACTGTGATTTGTATAATCATAACCTTTTATTCTTTGTAAATTGTGTTTATATAGTTTTTGTATATGGATGTCTTGTTTATAATTAATTGCTCAATCGGATAAATATGTTTGCGGTTAATATGAATAGTATAAGAGTATTAGCTCAAAGACTTACGTCCAAGAACAGTTTAATGCTTCAACGGATCCATCATCACCTGTTTTAATGATATCTAAAACCTGTACAATAAATAGATTAATTAATAATAAACAAATTCTAATTTCTATTAAAATCATAATATTACAAAGGTTACAGTAAAAGCAAACCCTTACATATGCATAAACATAGTTCAACTTCTTCTCATTCAATATAGCAATGAGATCTAACCAATAATAGAACATTGGGATTCATAGTTTAATAATAATTTTATCAGTATAGAGTTGTGGAAAGTGTTGCGTTTAAACTGATATCATGAATGTATCAATGTTAAACCATCATTGAAAACCTGGAAGCACTGAACGGCCATTTCGTCTCAGTATGGGACTCCTCAGCCGTAAGCATCCATGATCCTGCATGAGATCCTGGGTTTGAATCCTGCGTGCGAGATCGTGGATGCTTACTGTTGAAGAGTTTCATACTAGAGCGAAATGGACGTCCAGTGCTTCCAGGTTTTCAATAATAGTCTAGCTTATATTAACTCGTGAATTCAATCATTAAAATTACTACAATCCCTACAAACTTCATTCTGATTATAGTTTTCTTTATTTCACAATTTATCTAGTTTGCCTGACCTTTACTTCCTCAGCTACAAAAAGTCATCACAAGTAAATGGGTGACCAGATTGTTGGTCGAAGTGTATTGAATCACCACATTACGTAATTCTGATAAAGTTTGTCTTTTCTTCATTGTATGATCTAAATTTATCAAAGAGATAAGAGATGATGCTTTGAAACAGATATATCAGTCAATCATACCTCTAACACCACTCAAGAAACAGATATATAATGACTGATCAACAAACCTGGAGTCTTTACTTGCTGATTACGTCATATGCTATCAACGTAGTCTTTTCTCCCTTTTAATCGTGACAAGTGGATAGAATTCTTGATAAGAGAATATATATATATAATTACTGCCTCCTAATTCCCTGGTACAGACAAGGGTAGGGAGATTCGTCTTTCTTTCTCGAAATGTTTCCATATGGCCATGCATATATAGTGACCGTTAGGGAGGTCCTACTCACTGCCTTCTCGTTTCAGGGGTGTTGTTTACTAAGTTGAGAGGACGAAAATTGAATCTTCAGTGCTAAAACCGGGTAAGTACAGTGGGACCACCTAGTGAAGTTGTAGAAACCTGATTTCAAACCAATGGTGCACACTGGCTTAAGAACCCTAAAGAAACAAATGGCGCATGAACCCATCCTTGGTCACCGTCTACCATAGGAGTGCATCTCCTAATGTCGCTTTACTGCCTCGTGGATTGGATCTTTACGTCAAGTGCTCAAGGAGTGGCTCCCTAACAAAACCATTTGTTTCTGGTTAGCGTACTCGGAGAATATCCCAACCAACGCACAAATTTAATGATTTGCTTTATGGTCCACATATATTTTAGTGCCCCATTTTACCAAACTTCATCAGTTAGTCAGCTATAACGTAGGACCAGGTACATATGTGCATCCGTCCAAGTTGACATACCTCATTAGCACAAAAAGATGAACACCAAATCCATAGGAGCAGTTACTTCAATGGTATATAAAAAGATCGCATACAAGAATATAATACAGGGAGAAAGAATTAGTTCGTAGAAAGATATGAAGCGATTTTAATCTCTTAGTTTAAAGGAAGACAGAGAGTGTTCACACCTACACCACTGTGTTCGATTCTGAGCCATGTCACACAGAGTCCCCCACCATTGCTTAAGATAGTCACGCGGACCCCAACCAAGTAGTCTGCATCTACCAAAATGGTTAAGACCAGAAGTTAGTGACTTCAAGTACTGATGTAACGTTTTGGTTTGGCCATCCCTAACTTTCTTCCTACCATTCACAACACTAGTCAGCATTGCGCGTAGTGGTAATCGGTGTTCAGGCATACGCAACACGTCACCCAACCATCTCAATCGATGAAGATTCACAACCTCATCAACTGATTTACCATCATTACCTAATACTCTACGTCTAACCTCACTATTACTTACCCGGTGATCCCAGCAGATGCAAGCAACATTTCTAAGACATCTGTGGTCAAACACTAGTAGCTTACGAGTACCTTCTCTTCTTAATGGCCATGTTTTGCAGCCATAATGTTGAACAGAACAAAGTGTTGCACAGTTTACTCGTCCCTTAATCTCTTCCAGTGTTTAAATAAACAGATATACAATATGCATTTAAGAATTTATTCAAATGATTATGGATTACCTACCTTAAAATGTAATTCCCCATCAAATTTAATAGAGATAGGACATATAAATCCATTTCCAGTAATTAATAATAAATCATGATTCAAGTTATCATTTGTATTAGATTGAGTTTTCAATGACTGTAATGAAATCATTTGATATACTTCTAAATGTTGACCGCATTGATTAGATAAAGAAGAATATTTATCGAATAATTTAATAGAACCAATTAATGTCAGTGTCTTTATATCCCATACACGTAGATCGCCATTTCGATGAAGTACTGCTAATTTTGGATTTTTAGTATTAGAAAAACTTGGTAGAATAATTCCATCTAATGCAGCTTGATCACGATCTAGAAGAAAAAAAAATGTAATTTATTGTTTGTTTATTTCTTTTATTTAAAGAGAAAATTGTAGTATGAGAAATTATTTATTTATTTATTTAAACACATAAACATTGGGACAAGGAGGCACTAAGTAGATAAGCGCCACATAAATCATTCGATTTGTGTGAGGGCTGTGATACTGTTCGGGTGCCCAGACCGAAGCAGGTGGTTTCCTTAAGGAGCCACACTCTGAGCCTTTGACCCAAAGGTTTAACCCACAAGGCAGTGGAGCATCGTCAGGAGATGCAGTCCCATGATAGCCGGTGACCAACGATTGGTTCGTGTGCCATTTGTTCCCGCAAGATACTGGAGTCCATGTGCACCATTGGTTTGTGATCCGGTTAAAGCGCCGGACATTCACTTTTCGTACTCTCATTTTCGTAAACAACACCTCCGCCACGAGAAGGTAGTGAGTAGGATTCCCCTGGTGGAGGCTTTATACGCGTGGCCGTGTGAGAGCATTTCGAGAGGGAGGGCGGGCCCACCCCACTCTCAGCCATATCAGGGCATTTGGGGTTTGAATATTGTTATAATTTATGATCTTTGTGCCCGGGATCAATGACGTATAAACCTGTACGAGTAGTCTAGAGTCTTTATCGGTTCTTCTTCCTATCTAGCCCTGCTTGTTAAGTCCAGAATACCAATCTCAGCCTTCGTGATATGAATCATTTATTTTAAATATACTGGGTTTATATTACAAACCAAACAGATCACATCGCATCAAAAGATAGAAAATAACATTTATACAAGATTTAGCCAAAAGTGGTTGTGAATGTGAGAGGTATTGATTAATAGACTGGGCATAATTCAAGAATGGTAAATCGTATAACAATAGTCTATGGGTCAAAATAAAGCTTATAATAATAAGAGGAACATGAATATGCATAGTTTAGCTACTTAACAATATATGTATCGTATTGGTCCATAAATAGTTCTCAAAAGTTACCATTTATAATTCTTGTCGAAATATAAGATATAAATTTATGGAAGAAAAAACACATTACGTCATAATGGTAAAGAAAATCATGACATCAGGCCTACTGCTACCATTAATGATCAACAGTTGGATTTCGATAAGTATACCTATGTTCTAGGATCTGATAAAGAGTGAATATCTAATTCATATATACATCTTCAAATCTGACACTAGAATTATTTAATCGAGTTTACTATTCACTAGTCTTAGTTAAGCTCTGAATGATTATTGAGGATGATATTTTACACACTAAATTTCTTAAATTGACTACATTGTAGTTATCATAGGGAGATTGCTGTTTTTTCTTATTAGCTGGAAAGATCAGAGATCGTAAACAGTTATATGGGATTATTTTCATTTCCAGACTCTGGGTGATATTTAAATCAATCTAACTGCTTAACATGGATCATCATCCTTAAAATCAGTGATTGATAGGACTGGTGTTTTTGTTAAGCTGAAATCTAAACGGTTTTCCTGTTGTAGCTTTTCTGCATCCAGAAAGACGCCAACAAACGCATACACGTACTAGAGTGTGATCAGAGATAAACATGTGCATTGGGATAAGCGGTAGTCTTCTACTGAGCCTATGCAATGATGGTTTGTGGTAATATAGTCTAGTTGTGTATACTGATGAGTCAATTTTGGTGCGTCACCGTGTCAAACAATGTCTCCTGATTATTAAAATCGGTGTTTGCTAGAAACAAACGGTTGTCCGAGAAAAGCTGCCGAAGACAGTTGGTGTTATTCATTCACTGGGCAGAGACACTAAAAGACACCTAAAAAGCTGTAGACATGTCTTTAGATAAACAATGGGGAAATTGAGCTGGTGGGATCAAGTGAATGATTATATTTAGATTCCATATGTGGGTTTCGGAGCTGTAACATGTGGTAATAATAAGAGACCCGACAGTCTGAAGCTTGTTATTAGACCTAGCATGAGGTTGGAACATTGAGAGCTTGAAAAGCAGTTTTAAAAGACCAGGATAACACTTAGTGAACTCGAACCATGGCAGTGATGGTGTGTGAAAAGACGAAAATCATTGAAGAGTTGATATCTAGGATAGAAGAAAATACCTATTGCCAATGACGAAAATACATGGAAAAAGATACAATTTCCCATTTCAAAATCGATCTTTACTAAGCTCCGACATGGAGAGGAAGAATCGCTGCAGATGCTAACAGAAACTTGCTATCACCAGCACACCTCACCATAGTCGTAAGCACGACTTTGTCTTCGGGCCTTAATTTGCAGCTTTTGATCTTACCGCACTGAAACTGATCCGCCTGGGATGGGAATATTAAAAGGAATGAATGTTCCAGCCAATACAAGTTATTTGGTTCATCATGATATCTAGTCCCGACCACTACGTCAAGGTAGCAGCCATAATCAGGCAGCCAATCAGTTTACAGTATGAAAAAGTACTATCAATTGTTTTAAACTTAATACAGAAAACCGAATTTTAAAAAATTACTATTAAACCTAATGTAGATGTCATTTTTGGGAGAGGAAAAAACATACCATACGTATACGCCATTGATATACACTTCCCCTGATTGTTTGATATGCTAGAACTTACAGCCCAATAATTAACATAACTATGTTCATCACCAGCTAAAAGTAGAGCAGGTTTTGGAAGTTCATTATTCATATTTCGTACAGCATTTGAAGGTGATATCCACCATTTAATCCATAATAAATCATTAACAGTTTCTGCTCTTAATAATTTCCATTCTTTCGAGTTTTCTTCTATCAACGGTCTTAACCAAATACGAATATTTCCAGCCATATCACCAGTACATAAATAATCACCATTTGGACTGAAACTAACACAATTCACAGAATCATCATGACCTACATTATTCATGAATATTTTGTTTTAGTGAATAAAGACATACACAAAAAGAAAAACGATAAAAATGAGAATAAAAACCAAGGTGACAAAATTACTAGTTAAGAAAAATCCATTGATATGAAGCTGTGAACCTTCATTAATTGAAGTACTTGTATTATGAAGGAGACTTGTAATGATTTGAGGAGATGCATTTTCGATTTTCCTGAGGAGTCCCACAATAAGACGGAACAGCCGCCCTGTGCTTCCAGGTTTCCAATGGTAGTCTAATATCAATCGGTTCAAGATCTCAATCAAGAGTTTTCGATTGTAAAAACCAAAGGATGGAATGGTTATCATTAGGTAAATACAATTATATGAATTGTGTTCGAGTGATGGTCTCTCACAAGACTGGATTATTGAATTAGGCCCCCAAATTTCTTATCTAATCAAATAATATGCTTATAATGCCCAATATGAACAGAATAAATAAGACAAAGTGTCATAGACAATTGGCGGAAATTAGTTTGTAGGTCACTCACTATCCAATCTATTAAATCTTGATTGTTAAGCCTAATTCTTGGTTACTGTATCAACTTGGGACATATGTCATGAATGTTAAGCCACTACTTATCAAGACGTATTATTATTATTATTATTATTATTATTATTATTATTATTATTATTATTATTATTTCAACACATGAATAATGGTACAAGAGGGCACCAAATACATATGCGCAACACCATATTTCTATGTGTGGGCTGTGATACTTTCCGGGTGCCAAGACCGAAGCAGGTGGTTTCCTTAAGGGGCCACACTCTGAGCCTTTGACCTTATGGTTTGACCCACAAGGCAGTGGAGCATCGTCAGGAGGTGCAGTCCCATGGAAGCCGGTGACCAACGATTGGTTCATACGCCATTTGTTCCCGCAAGATACTGGAGCCCATGTGCACCATTGGTTTGGAATCCGGTTAAAGCGCCGGACATTCGCTTTTCATCCCCTCAATTTGGTAAACAACACCCCCGCCACGAGAAGGCAGTGAGTGTGATTTCCCTGGCAGTGGTTGTATGCACGCGGCCATGTGAGAGCATTTCGAGAGGGAGGGCTGACTCTCCCCACTCTCGGCCGTACTATTAGTCCACCCTAATACACAACATGCTTTGTACTTAACCATATTTAATAGATTTAGATCTAATTAATAATATTTGTAAGCATCTACTGATTGTTGATTTAGGATCAAATGTTGACTGCTAGCAGACTTTACAGAAAAAAAAACCATTCATAAATAGTAGTACTACTGATGATAATAACATTAATAATAATAATAATAAAACGCGACCTTGACAAATGAATTCAATTTCACCAGTTGCTGCATTCCATATTATAGCAATATGATCTTGTCCACCGGATGCAAGAAATTTACCAGTACTATCAAAATCTAAACAGAAGACGCTTTCTGAAATAATGAAAGTAATCGTTAAGTAGAAAATAGTTGTAAGGACATATATATATATATATATAAAGTTGAGAAATATCAGCTGATGGAATAACTTTCTAGTGATTTAAAAGATGATGCATTGTACACTAAATGAGTTTTGAAAATTTCAAATCTACTTTTGAAACTAATCGACAGGGCTATCGATACTACTTATACTAACGAAGTGGAGTTCGAACATAGGGTTCAGTGAATAAAAGCTGGGTAGATTAATCAGTAAAATATCTACCTCTTGTGTATTGTCTGGCGAGGGAACGTGTCGTATCCCCATAAAGGTGCAATTGGACTGAAACTTTTCGTTGAATATTTGCCCTAAGTTTTAGTGATGATAACTAGTGAAAAATAACCTACAAAAGTTGAGTAAAACTAGATATTAAATGGTCGAATATAGTCGGACCTTGGACTAGATAGACATGACAATGTTCACTACATAATGATTAACTAGACGTACACATCACAGTTTTATTGAAGGTCAGTTGCGGTCCGAATAGCTTAGATTTAAGGTTTCAGACAGTGAAGATGGGCGCTGTGGGTTTTAATCCTTCGGAGGGGTACCAATTACCTCAAGATTATAGGTACGCCCTGCTAACAAGTGCTGAATAGCACGAGACCTATGCCCAGGATTTCCTGCCAACTACCTTCAACTGTCTAACAGCCAGACATGTTTTGCACGATGTCAGGTCACTCAGATTAGTGGCTACATTGCAACCCTATCGACAGAATTCAGACAAAGATTACATTCATCACTCAGCAATCAACCAATGTGGAATAAAACCACATAGATAAACCAAATGGAAAATTGTTGTATCGAAGTAAAAATCATAACGTGACAGTACATCAGAGACTTTATATACATAATTTGTTAAAAGAAATCGATGCGTAACAAATTCATCAAAGTCAAAAAACAGTGGATAGCTGTGTCTTTCAGTTTATCACTCTACATAAGTGCTTCTACAGATCGCATCAATACATGGTGATGACTATCTTCAAAGAACCACACGTAAATTCATACAAATAAACTTCTTATGCATCTATTGGAATTGTAAATAACCGTATTGGATTTGCCCATACGAAATCGACGGTTCAATGTTAAACTAAGTAGATTGTAAATTCATTCAATCGACGACATCTACTTTAAGATCTTATTCCATTCATACTGATTAAGTGTTTGATTGTGCTTATAAAATGTAGAATTTTGATCAACAAAATTCAACCTTGAAGTAGTTGTATCTAGTCATGTTTGGTTTACTAGATTACAGTGAATACCCCACTACACTACGAGATAAATAGCCTGATAACAGGGAAATAGCTGAACTTCCAATGGAGAGAGACATTTGTTATCATGAGCTATTACAAACGATGAAAACACTAAGAAATCGAAATACATAAGGATTAATCTGTTTACTAAGCCATCAGTTTAATTAAGTCTACAGTAGTAGGATGATGGTTATTGAAAACCAGGTGGCGTACCAGTACTCTACACTTAATCTGTGAGCATAACATTAAATAGAATAGTATAACATAATAGGATAAAACACAACCTTGAAGTAATAGTCAGTTGGATAATAATAGCGCAGCTGAAGTTTCTGGTAGATTCCGAAAGATTAACGGTGCTTTTTCTCAGTCACTGAGGAATAGACTTGTTGCTTAAGTAATCGGACTAGCCATCATCTCATTTTCTGTCTATTAGAAACTGGAAGTGCCGAGTTTCTGGTCGAATCCAGGACATGATGACAAGATAGATTATTGTGCTAATGAGGTATGGCAACATGGACCGATGCATATGTGCCTGGTCTTATGTTATAGACCGACTAACAACATAATGCTAGATTTAAAGACATAATCCTGTCTTCTGAGAAACTTGCATTACTCGAAGGTATTATTTGACACTAATAACCATTTTATTAAAACGATGTCGTCTATTTATTGAATCAAAACCTAGTATCTTCAAGTTCATAGAGAATTGTGCGCTTCCTGACATGATAATCATCGGCTGAGGAAATTCTCTTCGTAGCGTATTTTAATTTATCACACAAATCCATTGACTACTTGTGAGTCTTTTCTATCCATTGTATTGTGATTATTTTACCATTATGATCTTCAAAAAACTAAGTACTAGGAATGGATAAACCATTGTGTGAGATCACAACACACCAACCCATTTTCTGTCGTAAACAGTTAAATCAGTAGTTAATATACAGTTCATCGGCACACAAACGCATATCGGACAGAATAACACAATTTACCATTAATTGTCCGAACAAACCTTTATGGCCTGAGAGCAATTTGAATGTATCATCTTGAGTAGGTGAAAAATACTGTACAACATCCATACTACTGTCCACCACTTCAGCTTCTATAAATTGAGATATAAAAAAAATACTATTATAGTGGAATTAAATTTATACTACCTTTATTTGTCTGACTTGTAAACGACTCCGTAATAAGGTTTTTTAATACTGAACAAGTTCCACTGGTCAAATCTCGACGCGCTTCGATAGGGAGGAACACTTTACCCGCAATAATATTCAAAAAGATATGAATTTTAGGTGCTGCTTAACAATACCCAACTCCTATTAGGGGAATTGATGCTCTTCATTATTTTTATCAATGACGTCATAAATGCAATCTGTTTGAGTCTAACATACATCTGTTACGGTCTTCTGACGCACGGCCACCACGTAAACCAGTGCAATATTAATAAACTAACACCAGTCGAAAATCATTTTTATTTTTGGGATCTGGCTTCAGGTATACATAAGTAGCACTAGTAAGTATTCATTGTAAGAAAACCGTATAGGATCGAAAGCTCACTAGCAGTAACCAGTGTTATAAACAATTCAGTTTACAGACCTATGAAGCTACCTCACACCAACCTAGCTATCCGTGCCCCATTAACAAAAAATGGTTTGCTTGGAGGATATCGTGCTTACATTCGAAAACCTGGTCTGTGCAGGTCGCCTATGGGCCGACAGTGACCCTTCAACTCGCAAATGGCCGTCAGTATATGTAAACCAATAGTGTGTACTGAATATTTTAAGCATTGCTCTTTCGACTGATGTAAAGTATTAGAGCTTACGACAAAAGCGTGAAACGAAACCGTAGCGACAAGTGTCTATTGACGAATTATCTTCAGTAGAGCCATATCTAGTTAACGTCATAGACTTGGCAAATACACCGTCCAGTAATATTCACCTAGAACTTATCGGATGTGCGCTACATGAGGTCGAACTCGCTTGAGCTATCTAACATACCAAAGTTAGCCTGTCACGTGACAGTCGGATAAGCCCGGATGGAGTTAGAAGTTTGACGTCTGGCAAGCTGATCAGGTACCATGAATCAAATAATAGCGGCCTAGATCAACCACATAGTTAGATTTCTGTTGAAGGAACTAGTCACGCGTACTAACGCACTGTTCTCAAAAAAAATTCAGGAAGGCTTCATTCGAAGCATCGCTCCTCCAGAGAATACCGAGCCGGCCATGAACCAACACTCTAGTTTCGGAAACAAACATCACGTTAGGATCCACCACCCACAACCTATTGAGTCGACTAGTGGCATGTCACCACAGTAATTGTTACCACACAGGGTATAAGTAAAAAAACCAAGTACCGGGACCTAGTCGATAACCATAGGGATAAATCACCTACAGGGTAGCTAACAGCCCGTTACTTCCGGTTAATAGGTCCCGAAACTAAAATGGAGCTTTCACGCCTGAAATCGAAGCAAGGGAACACAACACATGACTTCTCGTAGCACTGGGCCGATAGCACGGCTGAAAAAGCCACTCACCGTTAATCGATTCATCATCCGAGTTGTTCACAGACTGATTCTCATCTTCAATCCAATCCACATCTCCATCCACAAATTCAACGTCATCCGGTTCACTAGCCTACAGAACAAATGACGGGATATGACTTTCTTGCAGATGTCATAATCAAAACTTAGTTTCCTAACTAATAAACACTCATTCAATAACATGTCTAATGCCCACATTAAAATAACAGAAGACATCAGTGTGGAAAGAATTTATTTGATCTCCCACAAAGGTACAAGGGCTTCACAACGATTACATCACTTGCTCCTTTCCCTCATTTTCCTTCGTTTGCGCTTCAGTCTCCTCATCCTCTTTTTTCGCCACTTATCACGCATCTAGGAACTGAATAAATCAAAGAATGACAACTCACCACGCCACGATCAATAAGTTAAGCCAAGACTGCCTTCAACTCGACCACGTTCAAACACACTCTCAAGGTACAATAGTTTAAGATAATGGTTCAAATAATAAGGCTAACCGAATCTGATTAATGCTAACAGAAAAATGTTTTGGATAGGAGCAGTGTGTTTTACTTATTCAATTCTTGCGGAGCATAAACGTAAACATCATTTATCCATTTAAGTGGTAAGGGAATAACATCTTGAGTAATTTTCAGTACCTGCCGACTAATACAAATGTAAAAACTTCTATTTGAATAATTTACGGGAAGTGAAATCCTTGCCTTTCTCGGTAGTGAGTTTTGGAACTTGCGGATTCTGAAAAATAAAACGTTGACACGTATTTTCATGAACCCTTTAATGTAATATCCCGAAATAAATGTCTGTGTAATGCTAAATAAATAATCGAAATAAATAGTTCCGTGAGTCTTCAACGTTGTCTCTGACCTCATTAGTTTAAGTAGACACACATTCGATCAGGGCACTTGGTCACGTATACTCACCAGGTCACGAGTAGTACGCCATGCTGTGCATCGATTGCATATACTAAACAGTTCAGAAAAACGCTTCTCCACTTATCAGTAGCTTTCCAAATATATCTTCGAACTTTCCCATTGCTGGCTTCCAGTTAAACTGGGTTGGTATCCTTTGATTTTAAGGGTGTGACATCTTTCTCCATTTGGGCGTAAGATATTATTGAGTAGTATGTATCCTCTTTAGGGTACAAGAAAATTGCGGACAATATGATACAACGGTCAGAGGCTCACAATCCCTTGAGCCGAACAAGGGAGCTGGTCTTTATTTATTTCCCAGTCCCACTACCTGTTTGGTCATTTTCCTTTGAATTCGTTTAAGGAATATTATATCTTTTCCAAGTTAAATGTGACAACTGCAACGAGTGGTATCACAGCGTGTAGACTGGACTCACACCAGCTGCATACCAAAGGTGTCGCAAGCCACTCTCATGTCGGTTGTTCAAAGTATGCTGATTCTTGAGGCGACTGAGCTGCTGAACATAACTAGAAAGATGCTCTCAGATAAACAGCCACCAGTAGATGAGCAGCCTTCAGTTTTCGAGGAAATAGCGAGCGTTATTATAAGTCCAGCCTTGAATTCGAAGAAACTATCAAGGTGGGCCCCAATGAGGTAGCGGACAGCAAGCATACAGATGTAAGCGTGGTGACGAGAAAAAGGAAAACACAATTGGAACGAAGAAATCATCGTCAGCACTAAGGTATGGTTCCAGCTCAGGATGATGTGATCAAGAGACATAATAAAGTCAGCGACTGGCTCACAGTTGTACCCAGAAAAAGAAAACAGAGTGAAGTCTTCACGTCTGACGCCGAACTGGACTGCTGGGATGGGATTTCAGAGAACGAACCTCCACAGCTTATTAACACGGACCTCACTGACATGTCAGCCATTTTTCATAAGTCAGGCGAATCTCCCGAAGCTGATCAAACGACTAGATTTGAACACGACCTAAGCCATATTTGTTATTTGTTAAGTATTCTACATCCGGAAATAGTAGCAGGAGTAAGCATCCATAATCTTTATAGAATAGAACAAATAGTAGGTTCTGAAATTACGCAGAAGGCTGCCTGTTAAAAGTTACCTTAGCTTCTGTAGGAGAAAGAGACCGACTACTAGAAAACTCCTGCAAACTGACCGCAACCGGAATTCACGTCCGTTGGGATCTTAGCCTGGTTGGTCGTATTAAGAGACGATCAGCCCGAGTAGAGATAAATGAGCGCCGCCGGTAAGGTGAAAAACCTCATAATTAAAGGTTTTCTAATTGTAAATGTTTGGAGCAAAGCGATCCTCAAAGCACTCTGGCAGGTGAGGGAAAGCTCCTCACAGAACTAAGGGCGTGCTACAAAAATGCTTCTAGCACACAAAATAAAATGCCAAGCTCAAAACAGTAAACACATAAAGCTCTAAGGTCATTGACATCTCAGACACATGGATGACGTCAGAAGTGTCTGATAGCGAAATTCATTTGTTTGGTTTCTTACTAAGGCTGACAGATGAAACCGCAAGGGTGGTGGGATTATCCTGAACACGAAAAGTATCTTAACCATACGACCTGTCGGTTCAGTAACACACGAGTCAGTGACATGTGAGACGGTGCAGGATACTGGATTGGTTGTAGTATACGTGAATGACTTCATCCTAAGCAAATTTAAACCATCGGGTACTGAGGTACCAAGAAAACTGTATATTTGATCCAAGGTCATCAGTGGAAGAAGCGTGGAATCACTTTTGATAATTACAAAGCCAAACAACTCAACCATTTATACCTTGAACAGTCCCAAAGAAGTAGAAGCACGGACATCCCTGGGTAGACTGGGATATTCGAAGTTTACCAATACAAAAGTGCTGGAATATAGCTATCAGATTTGGCACAGGAAGTAAGACTCAACGCTTCAGGTTGGTACAAAATAACTGTATAACTACGATCAGGGAAACACATCGAAAAATATGAAAAGGCGGTGGCTCATTCTGCAATAAGTCAGCCTAAAAATTATCCTCGTACATAAACTACAGAACTAGGACGCAGCATCAAATTTTCAACCTAGTTACACAAGAAATTGTATCTTAAGTGACGAAGGAAGATTAGAACAAAAAGAGGCTGTGGTAGTTTATTTTGCGGCATTTTTCACTCAGGAACCTATTCTAGACGGAGAACATGACTCAAAAAGTCAATAAGCCATCCGCTCATTGTAGACTTCGATCGAGACGATGTACTTAGGGCTCTTAGCACTTCAGATACGGAAACATCTACAGTACTAGGTGTGCTAAACCCTAAAGTCTTGAGACAAATTGCGCAATATATTCCTTCTCCATTGACTATGATACGTCACTTGGTCAAGGTCAGTTGCCTATGTACCGGAAGGATGCAACTGTGACTCCAATACATTGAACAGAATCAATAAAACCATAATCAAACTACAGACCTGTCAATCCCACTAGTGTCATAGTTAAAGTACTGAGAAGATTAATCAAAAAGACCATAATGACGGTCGTGGAAACCAACGATTTGTTGAACAGCAAACAGCAAGATTTCAGAAAGTGTTTATCTTGCACAACAAATCTCCTTGCGGCAAAAGAGTAATGGATAGACGCCCTAGATAGTAGAAAATCAGTGGATGTTGTCTATATAAACTTCAGCAAAGCATTTGACAAAGTGCCAACAAACAGACTGCTATTGAAACGAGGTCTTGACATTGTTAAACCTCTTCTAAAATGGTGTGTGGGTTTTTTCCAGATTGGATCATACTCAAAAATGTAAAACACTTTGGAGTAGTACGAGGATTAGGGTATCTAAAACTTTAAGGAGGTTATAGGAAACGACTCCTTTATTTCTATTTCCTTATTTTCTCCCTTTCCTTCTTTAAACTCAATACAATATTCAAGTCTATGAAATGTCACCACCTTTGTTTCGAAAAAACACGCAGGAAATCCCCCCAAATCATTTCGTTGGACGTCATTTTCATCTATTTGTTTTTCCCTATCTCGCATTCTAACCTTTATTCAGGTCTCTCCTAACCGCACTTCATGTCCTTCGGTCATCGTCATCTGAAATTTTATTATTCAACCTTGGTTAAGGAATCACCATTGATTACTCGATTTGACAATTGCATGTTGCCGGATAACTGACAATAAGGTAGTGTTTGACTCAACTCAAGATCACGGTGTGGTCCAGTGTATGTTTGTTAATCTTCAACTTCCTATTTGAAAAGGGAGATAGCGATTTGTGTATCAGAATACTGTATTCAACACTATTTTGAAACCAAATAATCATTTGCTTTCAGCTTTTTTGTACCATCTCCATTTATACAGTTCCATTCATAACATGTTTACGCTTGTTTACTTTAACCTATTAGAATGCTTAAAAAGTACCTTAATAAAAGAAAACTAAAGTAGTCATGCCTCCGCTACTTCCCCACAAATGACTCGATTTCAGTAGGCATGAACATTGTCTGCTTTGCTTCTCGTCCTTTCTTAACCTCTTTTTCAGCCCCAAGATATGCCACAGAAAACGCGTATGCAACGGGTGACTCCACCCCGCGCCACCATTAATGCATCACCTGTTCCAGAGGGATATAAGGTCACAGCTCATAGAAGCTCTCAAATATACGTGGATTCACTCCCAACTGTCAGCTGCACGTCGCAACGCAACCTCCAAAACGCGCTCCAACTGTCATATTGATAATACGGGTTTTAATAATATTATTTGCTTTCATATGTGAGGAGTACTATCCCCCAAAATTTGATGATTAATGTATCTTACAAAATATCAAACTAACTGCGTTCCCCACCAAAGTGAAGACTGTATCTCCCGTGCAATTTGATCTTGCCTGTAAGCTGCCATGCCTCATGTAACAGACTGTTATTTGAGAATAGATTATTATTATTATTATTATTAATAAAAGTTTACTAGGATCCCTACAGGTAGATATCCAATCTCATCTGGTTGGGAATATTTTTGGTAACTATTCGTTTTGTTGTTTAGCACGTTACTTTATGCTAGAGGGTCCTTTGCTGTATAGCACAAGCTGTACTGTTTGAGATGTTCTGTGCATCTGATATAACGTGTTTTCTTACTTTAACTAGAACCGTTTAAATTGAACACAGAATTTGTGCTTTGATTTAGTTTTATACGAGTCGCTCAAAAACGCTTCTCACGCTATACAGAAGAACGTAGGTTGACCTAACTCAATAAACTTTATTTCATTAGTTCTGCATTCAAATATAATATTGGTATTTCGGTCGTTACAAGATGCTCAGTCGTTCAGTGTTCGAAATCCGTACTAGACAGAAAGGCAACAATGGTGAATGCGTGAATATTCATCCATTCAGTAGGATGGCATGCATCAGCCTCGCACACCTGGTCATTCTGTATATTCTGTCTTTACTCACATTAAATATATTATTATGTCTTTAGTTCGACTGTGTTCTTCAAAAGCGCTAGACGTCATATTGCTGATTCTT